GTACCCTTCAGCACTTTTGATGTGTGCTATTATTGTTGGAATAGAAATGGATGGATCACTCTCCACCAAAGGAATAATACTTTTGCTAATATATACATAGCCAAGGTTAACATGATCTTGTGTAATAATAGGTGATGAACAAGAATGTTCACCTGATAGCTTACGAAGCTCCCATTTTTGGCTTTTAGTAATAAAAGCTACTATGCACCTCCAATCACATGTACTGTTAACACAGCGTGCAACAATTAATGTTGGTGACGATTTCTCCACCCTGTAATACAAACCTTTCTTTATATGGTATGCATTTAGAACATGTTAGACTTCCTCCTTTGTGTTGAAATTCATGCCTTGAAATAGGCTGTCAAGAGAGTACTCGACGTCAACATGGTCAAGTGCATGTTTATACTCTGGGTTGGTGAAATCTGTTTGCAAATCAACATTATGCATGTGTGAAGGAAAACTGAATGTGCTTACGTGCTGAGATTGTTGTACAAGACGATCTTGCCCATCTTGTTCATCGTCTTGTTGAAGTCTTGCATCATCTTCCCCCTCACTGAAAGGACCAACTTCTTCTTCAGGAACTCCAACTTCAGGGACTCCTTCCTGTTGATCTTCTTCCTAGTACAAAGCATTCATGCCTCTGCACAAAGCATTGATTTTTCTGACGCTCTGGGACAAAGCATTGATGACACTACATCAATGACACACTGCATCAATGACACTCTGCACAAAGCATTCATTTTTCTGACGCTCTGGTACAAAGCATTCATGACTTTGCACAAAGCATTTATTTTTCTGACGCTCTGGGACAAAGCATTGATGACACTGCATCAATGACACTCCGCACAAAGCATTAACTTTTTTGACGCTCTGGTACAAAGCATTCATGCCTCTGCACAAAGCATTGATTTTTCTGACGCTCTGGGACAAAGCATTAATGACACTGCATCAATAACACACTGCATCAACGACACTCTGCACAAAACATTAATTTTTCTGACGCTCTGGTACAAAGCATTCATGACTCTGCATAAAGCATTGATTTATCTGACGCTCTAGGACAAAGCATTGATGACACTACATCAATGAAACACTGCATCAGTGACACTCTGCACAAAACATTAATTTTTCTGACGCTCTAGTACAAAGCATTCATGACTTTGCACAAAGTATTTATTTTTCTGACGCTTTGGGACAAAGCATTGATGACATTGCATCAATGACACACTGCATCAATGACACTCTACACAAAGCATTAACTTTTTTGACACTCTGGTACAAAGCATTCATGCCTCTGCACAAAGCATTGATTTTTCTGACGCTCTGGGACAAAGCATTAATAACACTGCATCAATGACACTCTGCACAAAGCATTAATTTTTCTGATGCTCTGGTACAAAGCATTCATGACTCTGCACAAAGCATTGAATTATCTGACGCTTTAGGACAAAGCATTGATGACACTACATCAATGACACACTGCATCAATGACACTCTGCACAAAACATTAATTTTTCTGACGCTCTGGTACAAAGTATTCATGACTCTGCACAAAGCATTGATTTATCTGACGCTCTAGGACAAAGCATTGATGACATTGCATCAATGACACTCTGCATCAATGACACTCTGCACAAAGCATTAATTTTTCTAACGCTCTCGGACAAAGCATTGATGAGTCTGCATTAACCATTAATTTTTTCCACTATATATGCACTACATACGATCCAACCCTAAACACACAACAAAAAATCAATTCTATTCAGCTATTGCACTATTGAATTTCGTTGCTATTGTTTTTCAAGAATGTCTTCTTCATCTTCAACTATGTTGTGGAAACAACACCTCCATAGGTCAAATGAAACTCATCTTATGGTAAGTTATTATACATTGCATAATGTTTACAACTAATATTATTCATTACTAACATTTCAATTCTACCATTTTCGTAGACAACAAGTGATCAAGTGATTCAATCTTACTATCATTCCATGCCTACACCTGACCCAAGAATTGAGAATTTGTTGGAGGTTGTTGGCTTTGGTGAGGTTGCGAAAATAAGACATTTTAAAATCGATGATTGTTTGATAACGTCTTTGATGGAGAGGTGAAGACCTGAGACACATACTTTTCACTTCCCAGTTGGTGAGTGCACGGTCACTTTGGAAGATGTCGCACTACAATTGGGTTTAAGGATTGACGAAAAACTAGTAACAGGACCAACTTTCTTTGACTGGATGAATTATGTTACGAGTTGTTAGGCTTCGTACCTCCGAAAGGGGAAGCTCTAGTTGGCTCAAGCATAAAACTAAAATGTTCAGAGACCATACAATTGCACTACCAGATGAACCCACTGAACAACAATTGCTCCAACCTTGTAGAGCATATATCTTCGGATTGATCGGTGGTGTCATTATGCCAGACAAGTCAAGTAACAGAATTCACTTAATGTATTTACCATTATTGGCTGAATTGGAATGTGAAGGACGATATAGTTGGGGTTCTGCTTGTTTGGCACATTTGTACAGAGAAATGTGTAGGGCAATCTATCCATCCTTAAAGAAAATGGGTGAATGTTCTTTGCTTCTACAGTCTTGGGCTTGGTATCGCATGCCCTCAATCCAACCAAGAGTCCAACGGGATATTACATTTCCACTAGCATCGTGATTTGAATTAATTTTTATACCACTTTAATACATCGAACAAGTAAAATATTTAACCTAAAATTTTATAAATGTACAAATGTTTTAGGTGGTCAGGAAGAGGGCTAAGATTTTCAGGCACTCCCCATGGAGACTTACTTGGCTACAGATTAAGATATGACAACATGAACCATAACGAGGTAATACAATGTAAACTTCTCTCAAACATACTCTTTTATACTCAATTCATTCATACCTTAAACCTTTTTCTTTTCCAATTTCAATGGATGCCATATAGGGAATTTCAGTCCTCACTACCAACACGTGCTTATAAGGATTCTAGAATATGGATTGCTTGTACTGCTTTAACTTCATTTGCAGTTGTAGTCTGGCATCAAACTGATAGAGTCCAATTACAATTTGGATTATGGCAACCAATCCCCAATAAAGCTCATAATCTTGATAAAATGCACAAAATAGACATGAGAGGACATAGCGACACCAACTGGGCTGAACAACATGCAGACTGGATTTTCATTTGGAAAGACAGACGCAAACATGTTATTTTTAGGGAACCACTTCAGGGGCCTCTCCAACACACTCCGGAGTATTTACAATGGTTTCGTGCTAATTCTAAATTATTTCTTTGTAGCCAATATTCTTCATCACATGCATCCACTTCTAGTACATAACTCCCAACAACAACTGCAACAACATTCCCAATGGTTGGAGATAATCACCCACCTTATAGTGTGGAACAACATCCCCAGTCTTATCCATCATTTCATACGTACCATGAACAATTCATGTACACACCACCATCAACAACAACTCCAACAGGGCACTTCATGAGCAATCTTTTTGACGTCGACGTACACACGCCACAAAGTGCATATAATTACATACAAAGCATGAATTTCCCTTCATTTTTGTCTTATCACTCTGAGGTCGGTGGAAGTGGTTCATCAAATCCAGTCACCCATACTATTAATATAGAACATGACGAGGACCAAGTTGAACCACAACAACCACGCATTGGTCGTTGAAACCCAACAAGAAACCGACAACCTCCAAGGTGTGGAACGGGTGGGCATATACATCATTAAAGTTGGATTGTAATTTACTGGATTGTAATTTTGTTGTTCTTTTTTATTCGATCTCCTATTCCATTGTTGTATTTTATTTTTATTTCAAGTTGTTCATCTCAATTAATGTTTTTATCTAAAATTATCATTTATCATAATATTTTCATTTTTATATATTCTATTTAAAATTAATTTTATTCAATTTTATTCTTTAAATTTTATTTTAAATACATTTTTATAATCTAAAATAAAAAGAATAACTAAATTAATTTTTTAAAATTTCATTATAATTTTTTTTAAAATCTAAATATTTTAAACTGAAAAACTAAAAAAAATACAAATCTGGAAAATAAATATTTCAAAAATCAAAAAAAAAAACACAAAACACAAAACGAAAAAAAAAAATGGCCCATTAAGAAATCGGTTACTGAGTAACCTATTTCTCAAAGGGACTTTTCAAAAATTTGCAAAAATCTTTTTGAGAAATCGGTTACCAGTAACTGATTTCTCACCCAAAAATCTAAGTGTATATTTAAGTAAATATATTTGAATTTAGATTATTTAAATAAAAAAAATGATATATTAAATAAAAAAGTCCATAATAAATGAGAAGAAAAAATATAATATAAAAAAGAAAAAGAAATAAAGATATAAGAGAGAGGGGGTGGAGAAAGGAAGAGAGACAGAGTGAAACTGAAAGAAAAAAGAAAAAAGAGAAATAAGAGAAAGGGAAAGAAAGAGAAGAGGGAGGAGGGGAGTGAGAGTGAAATTTTCACTCTCCAAAATAATAATTTTGAGAAAATATGTTAAAAATAATTTTCAGAAAACTACATTTCCAAAATAAAAAAATATAAATGATTATCAATCATGAAAAATCAAAATTCTTGATTTAAAATTTTTAAAGAAGTAAAATCATTTCACGTGTCAAACGCGATTAAGAGTTATAAAATCTCGTAGACTTGCTTGTCTGAAGGTAAGCTATGATACAGTTTAAATACATACATCCCTTCAAACGTAATATAAATTAGATTAAAAAAGGGCATATTGATATTAAATGTTTTACAGTCAACTCCTTTCAATGACAACCAAGGCACGAGAAGAAGTATGCAATGACCGCTCAATTGTGATAACAAATTCAATTCTTAGTGTATGGGGAAAACATTTAAGGATAAATTAAAATTCAAATAAAACTCAATAACTTGATTTAGAAAAGATTGTGATTTCTAATTAAATCAATGAATAATAGTGTTATATAGGGGTATTAAGAAGTGTCGGTAACAATTCTCCTATGCATAAATCGTAACACACGTCTTATTCAGACGAATAAAATTGTAAATCCGTCACCGGTATTTCTTCTTAACAAGACCACTCTGTAATTGAGAACTATAAATTACAATCACCACGGGAATTTTAATACGAAAAAACAAATGACCAACACAAGGGTATTTTAATACAGCAATTGCAGTGGAGTTCTTTCTCTCACCACCTTCTAGCACTGCCTCAGGAGCTCCACAAGCTTTATGCCTGGCTTCGCCATAGCTCAAACACTTCCTTCTAACCAGCCATTTTCCAGTATAAAAAAGTCCACAACCTAAACTCATTATCACATCGTTGTAATCTAACAACCATATTTTTGGAAAAAGTGAGGAAGAACATGGAAGCTGGCCCCATCCCCAAAATCATGCACACTATCATTTTAATTCAGCGACTAACTTTCGAATAGAGAGAAACTTAACTTCGTTACCTGTTGACCATGTTGAAAATAAAAATAACTTTGACTTGATTAATTTTTCTACAACAGCTACCAATTGCTTCGCGAATCAATGCACCCAAAGTTTTTCGGAGCATTTCCTGGCGTAAGAATCAAATGTAGGAGAAAAGAAAACAGAACTCAATAGGCCCCAATCAGTATTGTTAAATAGCCACTACATTCAAGGTTGTGCAACTATAGTGGCATGTCAATTTTTATTTGCTTACAACTTATATTTTAAATTGATATATATATATATATATATATATATATATATTGTATATCTTAACTGTTATGCAACTTCCGCTGTTTTGAGAGACGCTATCAACTATGTGATATAGCAGATAACTGGCTTTCCGCCATTTTCCGCAATCTGCAATTGATAACACCGGTCCAATTAAATGAGACAACAAATCAATACTCTCGCATCTTCGTTAACTTAAGAACTATATTTTGGTTAAGGAGAATGAAGCATTGCCGCAAAATGAGAAAGAACATGGAAGCTACTCCCGCCCCAAAAAACACTTGAACACAACATTTTATTTCGGGAACTAACTTACAAATTGAGAAACTTTACAACGGTACCTGGCCCATGTTGAAATTGAAAATCCCTTTCACTTGATTTATTTTTCTACAACATCTACCAACTGCTTGGCGAACCAATGCACCCAAAGATGTTAGGAGCATTTCCTGTTGTAAAAATCAAATGTGGGAGAAATAACAGAACTCGAAAGCCCCCCGGTTAAATGGGCCAGCAATCAGAATAAGAACAAACCGTAGCCAAAATTGGAAATAGATGATGGCACAGGATAAAGACGTACCATAGCAAAAATCCATCACTTATTACTAGTTGTCCTGAAATATATGTACATTGTTTTGACCAGCTAAAGAGGATACATTTGAGTTTCAGTCAAGAAAAAAAAAATCAGGTGTAATTCCATACCTTCTCAGGTCTATACATCAATCTGCCGCTTCTAATTTTATAACAAACAAGAGCCTAATGAAGTCCATTATCCTGTTCCTTGCAATCATATCATTCTTTGTATATGATCATTAACAAGGTAAGACAATGTTGGAAACAAAGTAAAAATAGTATTGTTCTTGGTATTTCATGCATCCTGCAAGTGTACCTGACCTAGCACTGCCAAGAAGGAAAAATAGGCTTGAAGTCAGATTTGGGAAGTGGGGCTTCATGGAACCAATCATGAAGGAGGGCATCTTCAGCAGTTATCCTCTGCAATAAGTAATAAAGAAATTATATATATCCAGTTTCCTGTCAAAGAAAACCAATCAGAATTTATTCCATGAACAATATATATACCTTTTCAGGGTCATAAGTTAGAAGGTTCTTCAACAAGTCAAATCCCAGCTCAGATAAAACTGGCAAACCAGTGAATGATGTGGCTGGAAACTTCTTCCTTAGCATATTATACCTGAAATATCAATAACTTAAAGAGTCAAACAGTTGAAAAGTATAAAACCATCACCACCCATAACATTAGAATTCTAACTAAGAAAAAGAACACAGGCTTACGGTTGCTTAACAAATTTTGCTTTAGCCCCAGGTAATTTGGATAATCCTGGCCAAATTTTCTCATGTGGGGTACCCAAGGTTCGAAAAATCTACACAGTTAACAAACAAAGAGAAGTGTTACAAGGACAGCAGATTCATCACATAATATAGATGATTGTGAATAAAAAAAGTAATATACGAGTGATTTCAGTAGTAATAACCTTATCAAGTTGTTCCAGCTCACTTTTACCCCTGAATAGAGGCTCCTTGGCAATTAATTCAGCCATTATGCAACCCACTGACCACATGTCAATAGCTGTTGAGTATTCTTTAGAACCCAGCAAAAGTTCAGGTGCTCTGCACAAACCAATACACCATTCATGAGTTTGAGGCATATACTTCTCTCTACCAGTATAATTGAAATTTGCAAAAAACTAAACCAGATATATCTATAGAGATAATGTTAATGAAAACTATAATAATTTTATAATATAATGCTACTCACCTGTACCATAGAGTAACCACAACAGGAGTATATGGCTTTAGAGGGCTTCCATATTGCCTTGACAATCCAAAGTCGCATATTTTAAGCTCCCCGTCATGGTTCAGC